AGCAAATATATCTGATCACTTGCGTAAGAAGAAGTGATTCCAATCACACAGGTAACCTTCTTCACAGTAAAATAACAAAGTGATAATCCAGTACACACACCACAAATTTCAATCTAAAAAGCACCTTCAGTCACGTTTCCCATTCGGCATACTGCCCATCTGCCTCAGCCCACATTATCAACCTTACTTTCTCTTTACTGTGGATGCCGATCCAGACCTTTTAAGTAGCAACCTAATGGTGCCGTTCTCAAAACAAAACTACAGATGCACAAATACATTTTACACAAACTGAGTTCTCCCCAGCCAGCCTGCAGCACTTCTCCATACAGATACAAAGATCTGGCTTTTCAAGAGCGCTATCAGTCCTGTAACAAAGTCCAGGACAAGCTGACAGCAGCTTGTGGTAGAGCCAAGCCCTCTTTAATAACATCAACCCTACAGTTATCTTCCTAGCACAGAGTGCTTTGTGCACTCCGCCAAACATGGAGTTTTCCCAACAGAAGAAGAAAGAGGCAAAGACAGCCAGATGCAAAGCAGTGGTTTTACTTTATGGGCTGTGATCCAGTAAAGCAGATAGCACTAGCACGTTAAGATAACACTACAAATATTAGAGCATTCTCTGGGAACAGAACTGCAAAAAGTTTACCTCCACAGTCAGCAAGAAGGTGCACGTCGACACCTAACCGTTAATGAAGAAAAGCAGTTGTGCCCTTCCCATTTAGGGGACTAGCTGAAGGGATTTAGGCATACTTAGGATTCACTGAGTCTGCCCTGTCACTTTCACAATGATGATTTTAACACATGCTTGAGACTTATTTCTCTCATTTGTGATAACTTGGAAACAAGATTATTTAGCCAAGATTTTTGAACAGTGTATTTTTTTGGCAAAAGTAATATTTTAAACAAGTTTAAAAAAGGATAAAGCATTAGAATAGGGCACCTATGTCTAGTATGGACTGAGACCTGGACTAATGTCAACAGGCCTGTCCTTAGTCAAGGGGTAAAGCCTTGCCAAGTCAAATATAACTATTCAGTGCCTCTGCTTCTATTTCACAGAATGAGAACTAAACATCACTGCAGTAACCGCAGGTTTGGGGGGATGAAGAGCTCTTCATAACTGTTAAGTCTGAACTTCATGAGCAGAAAACACTTTTCTACAAAAGACGACTGCAGCAATGATGTGTAACAAGCAGCTTCACAGAAGCTTTCATAAGTGGTACACATGCCCCGGTACGTATTACATTTCTCCAAATTCAGGGTATTTTCCTTCTCTTGTTCTAGTAATGTTCATAAATGTCTTTTCAGCACAGGAGAAAACTATACAAGAGCAAAGAAAAACTAAGCATGAAGCACTTTCAAGTCAACAAAAATAAGACTGAAAAATTTCACTAGCTCCATTAACATAGCATACACTTTACTTAAACCTGTAAAAAGTAGAGCATTTGCAAGGAGATAAGTGCATTTCCTCAATGTCATTGTGCCAAAACCAACCATCACTGCTCAACCATAACACAAATGGTGAATGCAGTAAGCCTAGAAAAGAGTAAAATAATGAAAGTTTAAACTGCAACCGCTGCTACACTTAAAAATACACAAAAACCAAACAACTCAAAAATCTTACTAATACCAGCTGCAAGTGCTACATATTGCTGCTCTAGACTCCTATGCAACAATAGGAAGAATTTGAAGTATCTTGTCTTTTTCACAATCAGAATATACAAATTATGAACACATGCAACTGACTAAACATCTTTCAAGTAGTCTTTTTCACACAAAGGTAGAGCAAACTTGCAACTCTATGTGATGTAACCTCCTAGGGTAAAGTTGTTTCACTAAGGATTAACTAAATGTAACATTTGATTCCATTTAAAAAACAAAACAAAAATAACCCACATATGAATTCACATTGTTCCAAACGTATTACAGAAGAACTGAGAGAAACAGAGAGGCTGTGTCTGAAAACATTTATATTGTCACAAGATTGTGACGCCATAGGAAATACCACAAAGCGAATCAAGTTTTGGCTGGAAATGCTACAAGCTCTGTGCAGCCTTCTCCTCTTGTAACGCCCAGAGCCCCGATCCGGAGCTCTGCTTCCCTGGCATCTTGGAAATGGCACTTATAGAACAAGCACAAAATAAATCATTCCCTTTCTCTGTGATAATCTTTCCACTGAAAGAAAACAGTCTTAAAGGATGGTTACACTTAAAGGATGGTTAGTGGGGCTTTTTCCTCCCGTTCTCCTAGTATAATATCCCACCTCAGAAAACCCTAGGGACAGTGACAGCAAAGGAACAAGATCCCACCCAACAGGGAGACAGCAGATTCTTGCTACTGCCGCTTGGAGCAGGACAGAACAGGGAAGGGTGCCTTTCATCTGTCCTTAAGCAGAAATCCTGCAGGCATATGGAAGCTAAAGACACTGCTCAATCCCAAAACAAACACCTCCTAGGCCTCCTGTCAAAAGACACCTAGTTCCAGTTTAGATTTGTGGCCTCTCTTCTTACTGCTGAGAAAGAAGGGAATTTCTCTATCTTCAGGGAGAAGTTACAGCAACACAATTTATAGCAGCCAGGACACGCCATTTAAAAAAAAAAAAAAAAAAGAAAAGACTGCTGGTCACCAAAAAAGCACTCCAAGTTGTTGTGCCTTCACATCTAGAAAGTCAACAGTTCAAAAACCCAGCTCAAACTGTGAAATGCATTTCAGATCACGTTGCTAAAGAACTAGCCACATAACAGAAAGGAGCAAATCATCTGCGCGTGTAAAAGTGGTTCAGAAGAGTCAGAACTTAGCCAGAGACAAAACCAAAACACCATACACACTTCCGCCAGCTGGCACTGCGCTTTCATATTTATCCCTTCTGCTCCTATGTAAAATAAGGAAACACAAGTAATCAGTCTAGGGGTTGTTTTGATTTCTTTATGCTTCACCACCAATGTCAATACTGGTCTAAGAATGGTTCACTAGTTATCTTTCTACAAAACCAGAACTGGGTGCCTCTGCTCAGAGAAGCCTCTCCCTTTCTATCAGAAGTGTGCTAAAAAGAGAGGTAAAAAATCTGGAGTCTTTTAAAGTACATTAAAAATGTGAGACAAGTCAGGTTTACTAAAAAGAATAAGCTGGCATTGTAAGACAAAAAGTCATGAAACACTTTTCTGCCTATTCCCCTTTCTGAAGTTGGTAGTACCAATTTCATTTTCCCTTGTTACTCTTACATTTCATTCCTATTAACATGCCAAGCAGGAGCAGCAAGAGTTCTGTTATTTTCCTGATGTTAGTCCTGGCAAACTGAACTTCCTTTTTGCCACGGTTAGCTTGAAGCACGCACAAAAATGTCTGAGGAACTACCTAACAAACTGTGGAACTCATTTCCACAAATTAATTTAAAAGCAAATAACTCAGTGTGATCAGAAAAAAAAAAGGAACATAGAAACAGACAGGAAAGGAAGCATCTGCAGTTAAGCTGGGCAATATTAAAAAAAATATACTCCAGGGCATAGTGATGTCAAGAAAGGAAATCCATCCACTGGGAAACATCACAGCTAACTAGATGCAACGCATGATGACTTACACTGTAAGCACAGCGCCAGATATTGCAAGATGGACTACAGGATCAGTACCTTGCAAGAGAGGTAAGTATGCAGATGTTGACCCTCCAATATCAGCTCCAATTCAGTTCATGACTAAAATACCTGTTGTTTGACTGTCTAGTCATTCACTAGTTTAAATGGTCTGAAATGGCTCATGCACTGATCTTCCCCGCCTCCATTTTTTTCTTGCCTACTGTAATAGACACCCTAAGAAACCAGCAGGTATGACTGCTGCCAGGACTAGTATTGTACTGAAAACTGCTATACTGCAGATTTCAGCACAGCTCCTAGTTTTATCTGAGGAGATAGGTGAATTTATATGGAATTCAGTGACTGAATATGCCTGTGGTTAACATCTTTAAAAAGGCACTGGCTGCAAGGTTTGCAGGGATGGGAGGCCAGAGGGAAGAATACCAGTTTTACCCATAGCTGGCACTCAAGAGCTGTGCATATTACATTGACAAAACCACTAGACGGAGTCACTAAAAACAACAGGAATGTTTGCTGATTTCCCGAAAAAGAGCATTTACTGATACAAAATTACAGCAGATGCCTAACTAATTAATAACTCAGGGCTGGCCTGAGGACTGGAAGACTTCAGAGGTAGAATTTGCAGACCACAAACAATAGAAACTTTCAGGAAAAAAAAGTAACAAAATAGACACTGAACCAATAGTTTAAAAAAAGAGCCTGTTTTGTTCTTAACATTCACAGTACATCTCCATTAGGTCAGTCCTCAGAAAAGGCCAAAAACCTTTTAAAAACAAGACTAGAAGAAAGATTATAAGAGAACCGAACACTATTCTTATTTCTGAAATAATCAGGACTCAATAGTAAAATCATGGAATTTAACTAACTGAACCAATGATCTGAGTCTGTGTACCTTTCTGTGAAACATTAGTCTTTCAAATTTTAAATCAGAATGATACCTGCCCCAACAGAAAGACTGCAGAATCAAATACTGAGGCTCTTGGTTTAATATAACTTTGTTAAATGCATAAAAGTGGTTCATGAGGACATCAGACATGATGGAAACTCCAGAAACACTGCAGATATCAAAGAGGGGCTTAAGTAACACTGTAGGCAGCAAATAAAACATACTATTAATTTCTGAAGAGTTCTTGTTTTAACTAAACTCCAACTTCTGATAGATCAGATGTCATAACATAACTATGAATCACCACTTGAAAAAAAAGGATTCGAGGGGTCAGGAGGGCCATCTTTGCCACAGAACAGGCTTAATGCACACATCTCTAGAAATAGCTTTCCAAAGATGCAGTCCAATGAAATTGCCAACTTCACCACCAGTCACTCAAATTCTAAATTGTAAAGTATATTAAAAAGGGTTGTCAGGTTCATTCTAATACCGTTCAGTTTCCCAACAATACCATTACTATATTTGCCTACCTGGGGATGCAAACAGTGTCCCACAGCATTGGTTCTACGTTCAGAAAGTCACCAAAATCAGAAAGGAGGCCTTTAAAAAAAAAAAAAAAAAAAAAAGAAAATTATTTAGCAAGTTATGATTATGATTAAGAAAACCCCTAGGGTTCATGACTCTTGGGAAGGAAAGAAGGGAGAAATTTTTATTTCACTTTTAATACTATTCTGTAAGTATGTGTTCGTACATGTTGTGTGTGTCAAGTGGCACAGTTACAAGCTATCATGGTTTTCCCAGGCCTGCATCTATTCACACCCACTGATATCTTGCAAATTCATACCCATATGCATATGTAAAAACAGATGTAGGGCTTCACTGGTGTATATATAAATATTCATTAGATGCTATTTCATGCCCACAAACACGTATATCACATCTGCAAGACAGTGAGAAGTTCCCTCTTAACGTACTAGTCCCAAGAAGAGACCTAGACTCTTATCCTAGCTGTGTTTAAACTTATAGAGGTCAGCTACAGTACAGTAACCCTGTGTTTCATTTATCTCCTTGTAAAAAAAAACAAAAAAAACCAAAAAAAAACGAGGGGACTTCTATTTTTGTAAAATGGCTGGAACAAAGATGAAGAAATCTCAGTGCATTGTCAGATCAATAATTTTTTCACCGTTTCAGAGGTAATACTACTTTCCTCAGTAAGAATAGGCTACAGGCAGAAATCCTGCAATGCTGCAAATGTATATCTAAACTGGAGAGCAAAGTACAAGAGAAAAGCAACTACCAATATTGGTCTCCTGCCCACCGCACCTTGGTTCATACACAAGTTCCGTGAAACAGGAAAGACAGTGAGGTCATTTCTTTCCAGTGCTACTTCCTTTCAATTTCTCTTTTAGGCTTTGTGCATCAGAGTAACGTTCAGACCAGTCAAGGTTAGGACTTCCTATTTTTTACTAGCACTTGTTTATTTTAAGACTACCTTGACCATGTCCGGTTTACACTCTTCCTTCACAAAACAGGGAGCGTATCTTTTTTTGAGTTTCTCTGTAGAGAGGCAAGAGGCTCCATTCTTGAAAACAGCTGTCCTCATTTCATTCTTTCAGAGTACAATGAGAATTTAAATCCAACCTACCACTTCATAAACAAGTTCTTTGAAGCACAGTGCCCCTACTTAATTTTATGTGAACGCACATTCTGGGCCACACTACGGTAAACGGTGCTCTTCTGGATCAGGCACAACACCATCTGAAAAAAATCACAACACAGAGGAGCTACTTGGCTAGCAATGCCCCAGTGTAACCCAGACAGGTACACTGAATATCAACCTAAAAATTTAGCTTTTCAACAAAAACTCAAGAGTTTAAGAACTCCAAAATGTTTTACCAAGCTGCTCCTAATCACCAGCTAATAGGAATTTTCCTTCAGTTATTAGAAGCCTCAAGCTTTTCACATATCCAGCAATAATTAAGAATGAGCACGTAGCACGCATTTTCCTAGCATAAGTGTTATTACGTTACCATGAGGTCATGTACAGGGTTATTTTTCTTTATAAAACCAACTGATGCAGGTGGAAGAAGGGAACAGGTTTGCAGGTGTGTGAACTTGTCTTCTGGTCTGAATAAGTTCACTGAAAAAGGGAAAAATAACCACTCAGTTAACAGGAGAATTACGTTCTCTCAAAAATACTGTTCAATCTGACCTCTCAGCCCAGATTTTGAAGAGACAGAACTTTATTAGAACATAAGGGTCAAAACTAAAATTCTGCAGCAGAGAATTAAGAATAGTGATTCAATAGAAATAGTGGTTTTATGGCATCTCATCTAACCACTAACTATAATTTCTCTCCCCTGTATTACTTTCACCTGTTCTTCCTTCTTTCATAGAGGCTACAGACTTAACACTCCTCTTGAAAAGGTTCTTCCCTTTTCTCTCCTGGTATCAAGTACGTCCTCTCAAATACAATCATGACCATCAAGCAGTAATTTCAACTTTTCTCTGTCATGCCCACCAGTGAGAAGCTGCCGCCCTCTCACTCTACCATCAAACCATCCGCACCCAATTAGTAGTGCCAGTACAACAGCTATGGGACTGCACTGTAAACCTGACCAGGTTTGCTTTTTTTTTTTTTTTTTCCTCTCCAGTAAGGCTATTTTTAAACCCAGATCAGTTTTCTGATCAGATTCTTCATGCATCCCCAGATAGCTGGGCTGGCACAACAGGAGGAAGAGAAGAGGACACAGCACTCCAGGACAGAAAACAAGCAGCTGCAGATAGGGGCACTGCCCAAGACACTCCTAAAAAATACGCCCTTCTTAATTGTTTTCCTTTTGTATTTAGCTTTGAGGATCGATTCTATTGTTTCAGATTTGAAGAACCTGAGGGCCTTAAAGCTTGTTTGTTTACTGAAGAATAATGCACTTTACTGAACAAGGTAGCTATAGGAATGCTGTATCTAAAGCCTACATAAAGAGCAATAAGCAGTTGTCATGATTCAGATCTGTAACTCCACTACTATCAATATTTAAACCAATGGGAAAAAAACTGAGCTCCTATAGCAAGCATTACATTCATTTTTCCCCACTGGCTCTGCAGTAACAGAATTTATTCCTACCCTGAGAAGCGTTCTGGTTTTAATAATGCTGCCATACCAGGAAAAAGATGATCATTTTTATAACTGAAAAGCACAAGTCAAGTAAGAAAAGAATTCTGTTTGTTTCTAGAGTTGCCTTTTTATTTAAGAAAATACAATGGAAAGTACAAAAATCTCAGAAGAAGAATGAAGCAGACAGTGCCCTAAAGGAAAAGAACACAGAGGCTGTGTTCCAACAGCAGGCAAGAATTATTAGACTGTAGATTGCTCAGCAGTACAGATACAAAGACCCCCTTCTCTATACATATAGTTATACACGGGCTGTCTCTTTAATAGTTGCCATGCAATTGTTACAGTATCTCTGCTAAACTTTTTTTTTTTTAATCAATTTAATACACTGGAAAAGATTTGGCACACCTTTCAGGAGCCTGAGGACAGGAACATTTACAAGAGCACGCACAAAGATGACAAGAAGTAGCTATTACATTTTTCATTGAAAAAAACAAAACTGATCTCTGGACAGATGCAGAACATTTAAAGTGGCTGGCCACCCCCCAACCAAAGGTTTCTCAGAAAAATGCTTTCCTAAATACCCGTCTGTGTGGATTGTTTCACTGAAGTGGATATTCAAGGTCACTCAGCTCCCCCAAACCCTACTTTTTCCCCTCACTAGTTTTTGCAGACCTTAAAAGCATGACCCTTAATGCTTTCTCTAGCATCATCTCCAAGCACTAGCACCAAAGGCTGCTATGTTATGCAGAGCCTACCATTAACCAATGCTTCATCCTACATTCACTCAAATTCTCAGTAACAGCACAGCTATTTAATGGATTTCCCCTCCAATCTTAAACACACACACGCCATGCATGAGATGTTCACTCACCCAGGAGCGCACAGCCTGCCACCAAGGGGGTAAAAAGAGGTAGGCAACAGCTCCTAATTCCTCTGTGTTCGGCTGAACAGTATTTTCCCCCTTGTGCGCTGTATTCTGTATAATCACTGCAGTGCTCAGAGCAAGCAGACTTGCAAGAGCAGCTGGAAAACAGAATCTTGTATCTCCTAAGCTGAATATAGGTGTCCATCCCAGACTGAGGGTGGTTCTTTCACAGTAAACCTATCATCTATTGCTCCTTGGCCAGAGGGAGGGTCACAGTGACAAGTGGCCATTGGAAGGTCATAACTAGGGCAAGAGAGAATAATAAAGCCTGAAAAATCAGCTGAGGAGGCCAGAGAGCCCTTGTGTATGTGTGTGTAGGAAGGGAAAAGAATAAATGGAGCAAATAATGAGTGAAAGAAAGGAGTCAGTATACAAAGAAAATTATTTACTGAACAGACTATTTGTGCTGCTGACCTCAGTTCATTCCTCTCCAAGCTTTAACTCCTTATGGCCAGGGCTTTGCTTGGGGGAGTAGGAAGGTCACAGTTTATTTCCCCCAATCAGCTTTCTGAGCAAGTTACCACAGCTGGATCCTGCAGGTGAAGAACATGCTCCAGCAGCAGATTGCTGCCCAGTTTCAGTGCTCTAGTAAATGTCACAAATCAGAACACACTTCCCAAAAGCCTGGTCAGCCATTATGGTTCTTCCCTTTCACCCCCTGAAGAAAAAGCCTTTTTGAAACTACAGCTCAAGGGGGTGGCTAGGGCTCATTCCTCCACCATTTTAAAGATTCTCCCTGAAAGGAGAAGCTTTCTGCAGTACCTGAATATCATCAGCTTATAAAAAGTTAAGGTCTGCCAAACACTCCTTTCCATGGACTTTCCAAGGACTGCTGTATACAACTCAATCTCCTAGCCATGACCTTGTTCTTGCCACCTAAGGATTTTTGTGCCATAACTGAAACTCCACAGATACTGCATGTGTTCGCTATGGGTAGCTGTGGATTAAACTCCAGCATGTCACAGCAACTTGTATTTTGCATGGTAGAAGCATTCTAAAGCATTACTTCAAGCGGGAACACTGATTTTTTGCATTGTATCTGAGGTAACAGGAACTGAGATAAGAAATAACAAACAAAAATACATTTAAGTCACTATTGGATTTGAGAACAGGGTCGTAGACTACTTGTTCTCAGGTTTTCCGATACATATTGAGGCTACTGCCTCCATATGAGAACTAAGATGACGAAGAAAGAAATGAGCTGCTGCAAAATGGTGCGGTATGCAGTATAATTATTCATGCTAAACTTGTTATGATTTTGTTATGAAGCCTAGTATTTAATTTACAGCATAAAAGCAGAAATCATCTAGCCCACACCACTGTAAAGAAACTTTTCTAAATACAAGCCAAATTGTATGTCTGACTTTGCAGACAGGCTGAAGGCTGTTCTCATCCCTCTGTCAGGCGTCAAAGGACCCCATTCAATTAAGTCACACAAATTAAAACTGAGAATTTGCAATTGCTATTGCAGTGAGTGAAACATATGATTCTAGTAAATAAGTCAAACTAGCTTAGGCTAAGACACTTTAGTTAGAGACCACGCTCAGCTGCCCACCCTTC